AAGTCTTGGTGCTCAATTGATCACAGAATCATTTAACCAAATCAATCCAATCTTACCAACTAACATTTTTCCGCGCTTGAAGTGCCGTCGCAAATCCACGCTCCTGGGTTCGTTGTGAACCCACAAGCAGGGTTCATCGCAACGAACCCACGAGCTGGGTTCATCGCGCGACGAACCCCCAGCTGGGTTCATCGCGAAGGTAAGAAAGAAAAAAAGAAAAAATCTCGTGGGTTCATCGCGAAGGTAAGAAAAAAAAGAAATAAAAAAAGAAATAAAAGGCTGAAAGAAGGAGAGGATGGGGGAAGAAAATGAGGGTATATTGGTAATTAAAAATAAAAAATTTCGCCATGTCATCAAGTTTTGCCAAATGGATTTTACACGTAATTTAAGTAAAGAAAAAAAAAATTTTTCCGTTAGTTAACATGCCATGTAAGTCAAAATTTAACGGAGGGACCAAAAAGGGACCGGATTTGTGAACAGTAAGGATCAAAAAGGGGATTTTTTCGGTATAGGGACTAAAAATGGGCTTTTTCCTATAGTAGAGGGACCAAAAAGGGTATTTAACCAATTATTTTTAGACTAAATTGAAATAAATCACATAATTAATAGACTATAAATTGAATTTAACCAATCCTAAATGAACTAAATGGCATGCAAATTAAAGTAAACTTGTAAATAAAATATGCTTCCAAGTTAAACTAAGTATATTTATTGTCGAATTAAACTATTATCTACAGCAAGATTTGAAAATCAAACTATTATAAAACTAGATATTTAATTCTAAATAACCATAAACCTAATATGAATAAAGGTTAAACTAACATGCTAAAAATTAAGAAGAAGTGTGAACGTCATATAAGTAATCATTTGGAGAAACACAACTTATTATAAACCTCAAACTAATACCAATAAAAAAAAAAAAGGAACAATATTGTGTAGAATTTAAAAAACTTGATGTTCATTGCACGAAAGGAAATTGTAAAAGCAATTACACAAATTAATTTGGTTACTTGAATGCTAAAAACAATCTAAATATACTGGGATCTATGTTGAATGATTAGAAGATTTCCTTTTATTTGTCTCCTCCCTGCTTGTAACTCCCCCCTACCAGGCAGTTCCACAAGCGTGAGTGGTTTTCTAAAGAAGATAGACACCT